CTGCCTCGTGTTCATCCCTGTGTCCAGTCTGTCCTACTGCCTCGTCTTCATCCCTGTGTCCAGTCTGTCCTCCTGCCTCGTCTTCATCCCTGTGTCCAGTCTCCACTTCAGCCCCGTGTTCATCCCTGTGTCCAGTCTCCACTTCAGCCCCGTGTTCATCCCTGTGTCCAGTCTGCTCACCTGCCTGCACTCCAGCCCTGTTCCCTGCCAGCCTGCACCTCAACCCTTGTCCCAGTTCCTGGTGCACTCCCTGCAGACTGCCATGACGATACGCTGTACCCTACCCAGTACCCTGTCCTGGCTGGCTCTGCTTTTATACTATCCAGCTGTGCCTTGTCCCTAATTCTCTCTGTGAAGCAGAGTGTGCCAGTTACTACCCCTGGACTGTGATGCCCTTGCTTCTGGGTCTGTAACGTCCTGGTAGGACGCGCAGCATAAAATGAGATTTTTTATTTACTATTATTGGCAATATCACAAAAAAATCTACAGTACTGAAAAGTGGCAAAACCCATAGCTCAATCAGATGGATAGACCTCGGTGGCAAATTACTGTATGTACCGGACACTGACAGTATGTTTATTCCAGAATATGATTCCATGGGTTTCTATTATAATCCATTAGCAAAGAAATTTAGGGCAAAATTGCAAATATAGAAACTGCTTAAGCGTTTCTTGGTTTCTCTGCCCAGCCCTTAACAAAGATTCAGAGTCATGGCAAAGAGTCTTATGTCATGGCCAGAAATAGAGAAATAATAATTTTGTAGTTTATATTTATAGATGCAGGGCAGAAAAACTAATTTGAAAGATTTAATAAATTACCTTTCTCCTGACAGCAACCTTAGCTGCCTTGGTGAAATTAGGCTTGACTGTTAGGCAGCAGTGTGGAGTAGTGATTAGTGCTCATACTGGAGCATCATGTGTTCAAATCCCACGTGGGATGCTGTTGACCCTTGAACAAGGTACTTCCCTTAGATTGCTCCACTTAAAGCTCTGCTTTATAAATAGATCTCCAGATTAGTATATGTGGCACATTGACCTACAGTACCTATCTGGTAAAATATACAAAAAAGGTTGGTTTGTATTGTACATTACCATCAGAAAGTAAAATTACACCTGAATGTCATGGTAATACTTTGCTGATAGTCGCATGCATATACATTGCTATAATTATCATGTCAGACACTAAAAGATCGATCACACAAAAACATTAAACTTTTCCCATTGATAAGCATATACTGTTACTACCAGGAAATACAGGAACTACAGGCTCTATTTTTAATGCTGCTAAAAGCCTTTTACTATCATTATTTTTTTATAAATGACTTTCAGTTTATACAAAAGACAGAAAATGGTCATATTGCCTTCCGTCACTATAATGCAACAATGGGTATTGTCTTTCACCATGGTGATGCGACTACCAGTAAAACTAATCAGAGACATTGGAAAAGGACACAAAGAGACAGTAGCAGCTTTTACCCTCTTTACCACCATGGTAGTGACATGAATAACAGCTGTGGGTTATTCATCAAGTCTATAAATAACATGTTATTGCACATGTTAACAGACGTAATTGAGAGGTCATTACAAAGAAAGGAAAGAGAGTTTCTACAATCCTTCCTGTTTCCCAGCTCAGTAAAGATTGACACAGCAGCCTCTTCTGTATCTACAGTAGCTATGCTGCTGAATAGGAGGGCTGCTTGTGCAGTGAAGCACAAAGCAAGGTGAAGTGACATCTAATTAATTCTGGAAACAAGTAAAAGCAGTATGCAGCATCTCTTTTTTAACAGCAGTCTTATTCATTTTTAAAGAAAGCAAAATACAAGAAATACAAAAAAATAAGGGCAGGGCTCAAAAGAGGGGTTAATTTAACAGGTCCTGAAGAGGAGAATAAGCAACTGTCTTATTTGCAAACAGTATTTGCAAATCCATATATGATTTAAGGGTATCTCAGTCTGTTTATCAAAACAGATTTTGGCAACAGTTAGACCCTCAAAAAAGGCACCTTGCCTGAAGACTGGTAGTACAGTAGCATGGAAAGGGCAGAGCGGAGCCTGAGAACCGAAGGAGTGAGTGAGCCTTCTTTATATTCCGAAACATCTGTCGGTTATTGTTATAATATTTGTCAGCTAAAGTACATCTTCATGAACATCTTTATAGTCAGGGGTGCACAGATGAAGTGATTAAGACCCTTTGGTCATAGTAAATTGCTCCACTTTGCTGAATATTTATTACATTTCAAGGAGTTGCCAAAAAAGCTGTAGACGTGCCTCTAAATGTCCAATGAGTTTGCAACTGTAGCGTTCATTTAATCATCTTACAGTCTGTTTAGTTAAAGCTTTCAAAGCTGTGAGCTGATGGTCAGAATCTATTTTAAACAACCCTCAACTAAAAAGCTTAATAGTAATAGTTCAAATTTAGTACAGACCACCATGAGTTTAGAAAGCTCTAAGGTCATATTGGTCAGTTCCCTGATCACTTACCATGCCAGATGAAAATAATTAGAATGACAGGTTCCAGCATTATAAGAATGGGATTGCCGTGACTACAAATGATTAAGAGGTGCTTAGTTTGGATGCTTTCACACTTCTCCTTTATTTTAAACATTACAATAGTAATGCAATACCACTTGCAACACAAGTTTCTTATTTGGAACTGGAACATTCCCTAATCAACTCACATGGACTGTATCATCATTAAATTAGCCATCTCTGTCACTACATGAAGGCCAGGTAAGCCTCACAAATACTGCTAAATAACTTTAAAACTCAAATATCTCACATGTATTAGTAACATAATAAATACAAACATTAAAAAAATCACTTTTATTTAAAAAAAATAGTTTTACAGTGCAGGAGAATAACAGCCACAGCAAACCAAAACAATAAACCAAAACAAGCATAGCTCCTGACTAGACTTCTTCAGATCCCTGACTGTCATAGCTGAGCATTTGAGAAATTCTGTTCTACAGAATTCAGAGCATACGACAGACCTCAGAACACACTGATGAAAGAATGATCAACTAAAACATTCTAAAGTGTTCTAGACCAACATTTCTGCATCTAACGAAACACTACACAAGAGTCTAGTTGATGAAAAGCCTTCATCAAAAGCCTTTATGGTAGAGATGGCTAGACTATTCTAATGGGTCTTTGCCATTAGACCTGATTTTAATATCTATAAGAGGAGCCAGACTGCAATGACTTCTGCGTAGATTTAGCAGCTGTCTTTACCTCCTGCAAAGTTATGAGAGCATCCAAAAGCAAAAACATAGCTCATTTAGTATGAGGCAGTTTCAGTGAGTTTAATAATTTCTAGATCGCTTTTGAGAGTGGTCAGATGTCAAGCATTACTCTCCAGAAGTTTCATTTTTGTTGTTTTTCAGATAGTTGTTTCACATTCCAGCTGAAAAATCCAGCGTTGCAGTTTTTGTTTCCAGTGGAAACGAAAACAATACAAAAGGCCCGAATAAAATATTTAGAACCCTCTGATAAGGCTGAAGGATTCATTTAAGGACTAATGGTAATTTTCTAGAAAATCTTTTAAACCCCTATAGAGATTCTTAAAGAAGGCTTCTTCTGAAATCAGAGGTAAAATTCTAGTGTTTCATTTTTACAAGTGCAAAAAAGCACGCAACCAAGACATGAACAGATAGCTCAAGCTCCCTTTAAATCCATTTTCTGAAGTGAAAATAATTTTACTCCTTTGTCATTGTTTTTCCTGCAACCATTAACATGACACTAATGCTCCATGGTGTCAAAAGACAAAGTAGGAACTGTAACAAGCAAGCTCAACTGATGCTCAAAAGAGCAAAAGCTGGCCCTCATCAATTTACCTGTGTACTCTTTGGACACCAAAAGTCATTTCTGAAGAATGACATTTATTTGGTGTGCTGGCAGAGTGCCTTTCTACAGGTGTTTGAAACAGGTAAATATTATACAGCGAGCAAAAATATCAAGGTACACTACTGAGTTTAATCTCCAATGTAGTTACTAGGTGGCCGTGCACCTTGTGTTGCATTTTGTGTTACAGCTCCACCTCTTTTGTCTCTCATTTCTCTCCATAATGCAGTGTAACCTCTAATGCTGTATTTGTTACCATTGCACTCTCTTAGACTTGTTCTTTGATTTAAATGACATTATAATTGGATGGGGCAGCATGGTGGCGCAGTGATTAACATTGCTGCCTCACAGTGCTGTGTCCTGGGTTCAATTCCACTCCTGGGGTGTTATGTGTGTGGAGTTCGTAAGTTCTCTTTGCGTTTGCTTGGGTTTCCTCCTGGAGCTCTGGTTTTCTCTGACTACCCGGGAACATACTGTACTTGCAGGTGAATACTGGCCCTGGTGTGCGTGTGCGTGTCTGTGTGTGGGTGTGCCCAGTCACTGACGGCCCAGAGTGTATCCTGCCTTGCACCAGTTGCTTGCTGGAATAGGCTCCGGCTGTCCTGCAACTCTGAATTGGATGAAGAGGTTAGAAAATGGATAGATGGATGGAAAAGTATTGTACCTGCATGAGGCAGAATCGCAAACTCCCCCCCCCACATCTATGAAATTAACTCAAATCTATATGACATATTTAAAATCACTCCAAACTCCAAATAAATTGATTTCTGTATTTTTAACTAGATAACATGACAGTTTCCAAAATAAAACCCAAGGAACAGAAATTTACATAGACATTACCATCGTACAGATCTAGTGAGCAAAAGCTATGAGTTTTTTTCTGCGGCTTTTTTTAATCTGCTTTTCATTACAAACAATTTGCAATAATTCAATGATTTCAACTTCACACACAAATCTAGTTGAACTGCTGCAGTAGTGTCCCCTAGTGGCAGTCTCATTGTCATTACAGCACTCTCAGTGGCAATGTGCCACAGGAATGTACAGTAATTCTGTCAGTAGGAATCAGCTTTTTTATTTTGAAGATGAAGAAATAGGCCTCAAGCAGATACTTTACTTCTACTATATTTTATGTTGAAGTACTAAAATGACATGCTCTTTAACACCTAGATATAGTTTGATTATTAATCTGCTTATTATATGGCAACTCACAACTGGCAGCCCACTGAAGCTCAGCAGATGTGAGCCTGGCCAGTACCTGGACAGGAGACCTCTTAGGAAAAACTAAGGTTGCTGCTGGAAGAGGTGTTAGTGTGGCCAGCAAGGGGCGCTCACCCTGCGGCCTATGCTGGTCCTAATGCCCCAGTATAGTGACGGGGACACTATATTGTAAAAAGGCGCCGTCCTTCGGATGAGACGTAAAACCAAGGTCCTGACACTCTGTGGTCATTAAACATCCCAGGGAAAAGAGTTGGGGTGTAACCCCAGTGTCCTCGCCAAATTTCCCATTGGCCCTTACCAATCATGGCCTCCTAATAATCCCCATCTATGAACTGGCTTCATCACTCTGCTCTCCTCCCCACTGAGAGCTGGTGTGTGGTGAGTGTACTGGTGCACTATGGCTGCCGTTGCATCACCCAGCTGGGGCTGCACACTGGTGGTGGTGGAGGGGAGTCCCCATTACCTGTAAAGCGCTTTGAGTGGAGTGTCCAGAAAAGCGCTATATAAGTGTAAGCAATTATAAGTCTTTAAAGGGTTTTGTAATCTAAAATGGTGAGTTAATTCAGTCTAAATTAAACAATCAGCAATTTCAAAAAGGATATAATTTCTCTTGGGACATTAGAGTGGGCTTTTGAAAAACAATACATCAAAAAACTTTATTTTGTTATTTTTTATGTTTTTATACAGTTCTACAGTAGTCCCGTTACTTTGGTTAAAACTACAGCAACAGACATTTTAATAAAATATTTTCCTCGATTTCCTCGTCCTTTTTTGTGGGTGTACTATTCTTTTAAATGGGGCAGCACAAGCCTAGAAATTATTTCAATATCCTGCCTTAAATTTCTGGTTTCTACAATTACTAAAAACAGAAAAATGTGTAATTCTTTTTGTTGGTTAAAAGTGGGAAACATGATTACCTGAGACTGCACATGGACCATTATGCTACTCTTGTGAGTGACACTGTATTTTCTCATGATAATATAAGTAAAAGATAAGTTTAACCTTGATTTATAATGGGATTATTAAGGTAAATTATGAGTTTGCCCTTTGCCTAACAGCCAGGTGCAATGTCTGTATTGCAGAACAGGCATGCAGCAGTGTCGGCAGAGTTGACTCATGTATTGAGCAGGATAGAAGACCTCAGCAGAAAAACTGAAGAATACCGAGTTTCAAAATGTGTCATGGAAAAGACAGCAAGAACAATGCCAGATGCCATTGAAAAACTTCAGTAAGAAACCTTGATTGTTTCTATGCTGTCTGTAGTATAAGGATAGTGCTACTGACATTTACTGTACCACTAAATATTTTGACATAGCAGTTTCATAGTAAAAAACAGAGCATATTTACAAAAAACAGTGAGAGCTACAGTCGCCCCCAAATTAATAAGTACAGTTAATTATCATTGCAACGGTTGCTGTGAATCCTTCATTACAGTGGGCAGCTGCTGTAAAATTGATTTATAACTTTTTAATGAAGAAATGGATAAGGTGACTTACTTCCTATATAACATTTTTTGCATTCCAGAAATAATATTTATCCTATAACAGTAATCTTCAAAATCATATATCAATAACAAAGTTCAGAAATCAGGCTTATCTAATCACACAAATACAAATGGCACCATGTGTTTTTTGTGCTTAGTTCTTTTCTTACTAACATTAAAACCAATTGATAAATGGCCTCTAGGGGTTGGATTAAACACATCAGATTAGTTTTTATGTTTAAATACAAACACTAAAATTTCCATATATTCTGGGGTATGCCTCTGGTCCCCTATCACTTTGTCTCTTCCTTATCACCAGTCTGTGGATGGTGTTTTATCAGGTGTACTGTATAGCTTGATAAAGAACACACTACATTCATGCATGTTCAGACTGTGGTTCATTTTTTCATTTGTCAATGATTTACAAAAGCTAACTACAATTTAAGAATAAGCACTCTGAGAAAGGGCTTGATTTTAGCATATCATGATGCGAGTTAACAGAGGACACTCACATCACTTTGTGCTGTGAAACAGTAAGGGCCACTTTGCCCTGTAGCATGCAGTGAGTTGGTAAGCTCATTTAGTCATACTGGTGGGCTTTTGCTCCTCTGTTTCAATTTGAGGTTTGCAGGATTCTGTATCTCTACGATCCTATAGAAACTCAGGGACCAGAGTTTCAAGGTTAATCAAGAATAACAAGAAAGAATAATAAAAAATATTCTAATTCTGTAATAATACTATTACATAACAAAGTAAAATAAAAAATAAGAACCTCATAATGCATTCTGATAATGATAACAAGGGAAATCAGGCTGGGTCACTGTTTTTTTTCTTCTCAGAATTTGCAGCATTTATTTGTAGCGTTTGTTTTGTGTGCTATTTTTAATTTTTAGCATTGCAAAACTAACTTACTGTAAATCGCTCATATGGACCTTGTTCTGTCTTGATTTTCTTTTCCTTTCATTTCATCAAAACGATGCATTTTTTTTGTCCTTTTCAGGCTTTACTATTTAATTGCCTTTGTTTTGACTCAGCTTTGACATTATGTTTTTTTAAAGCTATTTCTCACCCTTAACAGAGTTCTTCCAAATTATGTGGAATATGTATGTCCTTCTGGCATCATAGTTTTCTAATAACGTTTCTTTGCAAGGAGCTTTGCATCACTGCGCTGATTCAGATTGCATAGCACAGTAACAATAATGATTTGTTTGACTCATCTGTGAAAATGTGTTAAAGGAAGTAACAGAAAAGGCATTCTTCTTTGTAAAAATGTATTGTGATGTTATGGCAATTTTTATTTTTAATTGTAGCAGCAATAATAATTTCTTGTTTTTCTCAATGTTTTCCTTTAAATGTGTCTCCAACATGACACAAACAATCAGATGTTTTTATGGTAAGTTATTCTTTTGTCTAGCATCGTCCAGCAGCTGTCAAGGATAACAAGGGTTATCCTTATAATTTAAGGGGATTTTTAATAAATGTTTATATTTTCTTACAGAGCTGATTTTGATGCCGTGGACTTCAAACACAAAACTGCTACTTCTATTATTAACAGCCTTCAGAGTGAGATTTCAAACTGCAAAGATCGAATAAAGCTGTCTGAAGAGACACATAAATCCCTCTATAAAAATAGACGTATAACTATGGAAGAGACCAAGGTAAGAAAAGGTTTGTCACACCCATTAAGTGTAAATGCTTTCAAGTCGCAAGTCAAAATAGGATGTTTCTGTGGCAGTACTCTACTTAATTCTCAGACAATTCCTTGTCATTTTTATATAAATCCTTTTAATGAGATGCTTTGGTATTAAAATCTGTCAGTGCACAGAAAAGGTGTCCTAGTGGATGAAGAAATCATTGCTACTTTAATCTCTCAGACACATGCCATCATTTTTTCATTGCTCTTAACTGTATTTTATTGTATTTTATAAATTCAAACATTTCACTACATTTGGTGATACTCTTTGGATTCTTCTTGTAAATTTGGAGCTCCATCAAAGAACTGCAAATCCATCAGAAACCTTTCAGCACTTAATAGGCCAGTGCTCCAGTAGTTAAGCACTGGGCTACACATGTGTTTCTGAACAAGAAGGCAGAGTTATAGCACTAAAGCTGCACCTCAGCCTGCCGGACAGTTTGCTTCTGTTGGTACAGTACAGTATCCATGAGTAAAGCGTGGTGTCTGTGGACCAGAAGAGAATTGTGCTGTCTTTTGTGGAAACCTAATGATGGCAGCTGCCAGTGAGCCATATGAGTTGTCTCCCTGGGCTGTAAATTGGATCCCCTGAGTGGCCAGTTAATGGTTCCCATGTTTATTGTGGAACTTCTGCCATTCTTCCTCACCAAGGCTATCCAGAATTGTAAAAATTTAGAAGTCTATGTGTTTTTTTGAGTTTTTTTTTTCAAGCAATCCTACCGTGCCAATTTTTTTATAGTTAAAAGGGCTCATTTAAATTGGAAAACCTGCTAGTCTGAAATTTTCATCTGAAGGATTACCACCAGCCAGAGCCACTTGCCTGATGAGGGTTTCACATGGCTTATCTAATGTGAAATCTCCATGTGGTATATAGTTTCATTAAACGGTGATCAAGAATACATTAGTTCAAAACAAGAAAAGGCAATGGAGCTTAATCCGCCAGGCATCCTGGCGCAACAACTTTAAAAGAGTTATTGAAGTGAAACAATTTGAGAATTAAAAGTCTTCCACTTAGACAGAACTCCCATCAGCAGCATAAGAGTCAGCCTTGCAAAAATGTTTATGCCATCCTTATCTTCAGGAAGAGAAAACAACAAAAACAAGTAAAAAAATAAATGAATTGTTATTACTTATTGTTATGTGGAGAAATGATCATATGTGGTTTTATCAGAGTGCAACAGACTTCTAGGAGGTCACAGAAGTAGATTTTCAGAACTCTCCTTTAGGAAGGTAAATGTGTGTTTCACAGGCGTGTGGGGTATTTGTGAACCATCAGTTGTGTGATACATTTCACTAATGCACTAAAGCAAGTACTACACTAATACATTGAGGCAGTACTATGTGAGCTTTCCATATGAGCTTTGACAAGAGCTGCCGGATTATAATGGTTAAAAAGTCATGTCATTTAGCAAACAGCTTTATACTGTACCATTGGGTGTGGCGGGAAGCTGGAGCCTACCCAGCAAGCAACGAGCACAAGGCAGGGTACACCCTGGACAGGGCGCCAGTCCACCACAGGGCAAGTGCAAGCTGATCATACACAGGGACAACACCCACTACAGTATAGTGTCCCCACAACTATACCTACAACTATACCTGGGCATGAGGACCCACACAGGCTCCAGGGTGGGCGCGCCCCACTGGTCCCACTAACACCACTTCCAGCAGCAACCTTAGCTTCCCAGGAGGTCTCCCATCCAGGTACTGACCAGGCTCACACCTGCTGAGCTTCAGTGGGCTGCAGGGTGATATGCCTGCTGGCAGGTTAAAAAGTGAGACAGACAGAAAGTATTTATAGAAAATATTGTAGAGATATACAGTAAAGAGATGTTTTATACTGTAGCTTAGGGGTACTCAGGAAGTCCTGAAAGCCTTGTGCTTCAGATATACTGTAATATTGTTATATTGTGTAGTATCACATTTCACTGTCAAGTAATGAGATTAAAGTACTGAAAGCTTTTTGTATTGATATTAATATTCCTCCCCAAAATGGTGCTTTTGATGAATTGTTCAATTATAAGTATTTTTAGGAATAAGGGATAGAGCCCTTCTCTTCGCCCCAGTAGTCATACTACTGCTACTATTAATAATTATTATGGATGTTTTAGATTTTGGAATTTGATTTGACAAGACATTTATTCAGCCAGAATTCTTAACAACAACATATTTTGAGTGAAAAGTATTGCAAACTTCAAAATACGAAGTATTTTTTTAATTTTTAATTTGGAAATTAATTTTTAATTTTTCCAAAAAACTTTATGTAGCTACCGTAACACTGTAACACTGAATCATGTATAGTATGTTGCACTTAAATGAACAGAGGTCTTTGCCTTCTCTCATGTTTCTGTAGAATACTGCAGTTTCTCAATGTTAACAGTAACACAAAAAGCTTTCTCTTTTATAGTAAAATAAGTTTATACAGTATTTTAAAATTGCATTTAGTCTAGTGTTTTGTATTCTATAAAAACGGAATATTTAAAAATATTTTAATCAGATTTTGGGGCACGTTTTGTTCTTATTTCTATTATTAATAATGTTTTGTAATAGAGGCCATGGAAATGTGTTTAATTTTTAATAATGATGGCTTTTTTGTAGTGGTTGTATTATTATTAAGAACCATCACTGCAGTGTTAAGCATACTGTTTATAGAAAGAATAGTACATTTCTCTTACTAATATTGTAATATACAGAAGGTTATGTGAAAATTGTCTGGTAGTGTGTAAAATGTTACCTCACATTGTCTGTGTGTGTGACTTCAAAATGAAACACCTGTGCAAACTAAAGTAGCTTCTCTGGTTTATTAAGAGATACGCCTTTCTATGATGCATTTACTTATGTCTTAAGTTATGGAACATTGTAGGTTTTACTTAGCTATTACACTTTTGCCTAATAAGATAACAATGGTGACTGAGACTTTACACAAAAATCTAACAAACTGTTCTTGAAAAAGGAGCAATGCATCTCCTAGTTTATTTTAGACATGCAACTAAAATTATCTAATGGCCATTTTCGTTATACAATCAAGTTTTCATAGCTAGGTGGAGTTAGATACCATTGTCATTCAATCTCCATTTTCTAAAAAAAAATCACATTTTTGCCCAAATCATGGAATCATGTCACTGGTGGTATAATTCAGAGATACAGTACATTAATGAGGAACTGAAGTATTTAATGAAAGGTATGTACAGTACCCTTAGTACCAGTCCAGTACTTATTACAATAGAGACATAGTTTACAGAAAAACCAGAAGCCTGGTTATGGGCTACTGTTAAGAAACTCTGAAGGCTTCTGTTTGTGAATAGCCAGGTTCTTCAATAGGCTGCAAAAAACATTATGTAGTTTATATTATACACATCATATTTTTAAAATTGCAAAACTCTCAGATCCTTGTGAGCAGTCTTCTGGGAGTTGTGAGTTTTAACAACACAGTTCACATATATTTCCTGTGCCTTTTCAAGGATGTTGGACTATTTATTTTGCAGAATAGAATAACTTTGGTGGTTCTGCAAAGACTTGTTACAAGTCTACACGTCTGAATGCTCTAAACGTCTTTAACCTCCTGTATTATGTGATTTCCAAAACCAAAGCAACGTCTTTATACACAAAGCTGCCAGTTCTTTTCTGAGGAATGCTGACCTCAAGGCTTGCATGGTCCAGGAAGCACTGCACTGTGTGTGCTGCTCTGTACTAACACTTTCAGCTCTGCTCAAGCCCATGGCAGAAACTGCATCTGGCATCCCTGAAAGCACACAAAGAACTGCTCTAATTCGGGGAAGGGCAGGGCACTACTGCAATCTGTAATACTGAATGAAGAGCTCTCAGGCAACATCTACCTGTGCTCTGATAGGAAATAGTTCACGCACAAAGTGTGACATTAAATTTTCATAACGATGAAAAGGATATTTTATTTGGCATCTGACATGAAAAATATATAATGTACTGTACTTGTACTGCAGAGTGCTATGCACAAAAACAATGAAATTGGTATTTAAAAACTGGAACAAATAATTTCATAGCTGTCCTGTATGTATTTAAACATCAATGTTTAAAATCAGGTTAGTACTTAATGTCAGATGCAATATTTCTGACCCTGTGATACCAGCAAGTAATTTTAATGGAATATCAAAATACCACATTTCAATAAAAAAGATGTCATGTTTTTAAATTTAAAAACAGACAGCAACTTAAAAGGTTGTCACATTAGTTGATACACTTGATTCATCAAGAAATAGTTACCCAAATAACTACATAGAAGCATGTAGTTGCCTTTTACAACATTTCAACCATGTTTGAAAGTGTAAAAGTGTGGAAATTACACTTACCTTTTAAAAGTCCATTCTGATATTTAAGCCAGCTCTTGTGACTTTGTAATTGCATTATCTCTTTGGCTGGGGTTGGGGCTACCCTGACAAGATCGTTTACTTTATCAAATAGATTTATCCTGACAATTACCATCGCCTTGTGCAACTATTTAGTCAAACCGATCGAGAGGAGCTCTTAGTACTGTGTTACTAAGAAGGTGATTATTAAATCTGCAGCACTTGTATTTTCTGAATATATTTAATTTTCAAGAAACAGTATTAACAACCTAAGGTACAACACTTCACTTGAGATTTAAAGGCTGATATTTTATGATGGTATTTATATTTTCTGCTCAGTTATAATGTTTGACAGTAGAAAAAAATGTTCTTAATGGCATATTTTATCTCAATTTCTAATCTTTAAGAACACCTTAATAAAATCAAATTAATACAATTGAAAGACTTGCATTTTCTGGTTAATACCATGCAATAATTATAAAGTGACTAAGAATAGAACAGATTCAAGATGTGAAGTTATAACATTCTAAAAGAGTTAAAAAAAAGCAAATCTGATCATGTTGCTTAAGGTACAGTACCTAGTATCACACAGGTTAAAGTTTCCATATTGTAAGAAAATTTGTGCATTTAAGAAGTTGGTAATGTT